TATATATATATATATATTTATTTATTTATTTATTTATTTATTTACTTATTTATTCATATATATGCACTGCAATATTGTTTACAAATATGTATGATGATGCATTCATAATATCACTTGATTTTACTATATTAGTTAGTACTTGCACACACATACACTCACACTCACATGCTCACACACACACACACACACACACACACACACGCGCGCGCGCGCACATACACACGTGGGTATGTGTGAATCTGTATATCTATACATGGTTTATTTTCATACTCTTCTACAGGTTCTAGAAAAGGAAGTGATGAAGAAGAAGTCCCTCTCTTTAGAAGTGTTCCCAATGGTCCTCTACAGACTGGGTCGTGAACCTGATCCAGCGACACGTCTCACAATACTGTACACTCTACCATCATTAGCAGTTAATAAGGTGTGACAGAAGATTCTTAGTATACTTTGTAATAGAGAATGGAACAGTGTTGATATTTTGTTAGAATGTTTATAAAATGCCAAGTTATCAAATGTACTAGTGTTAAGTTTTCTGAAATCAAAGATATATACCACAAGCCATTAATAGATGATATAACCCTACATTTTCACTACAGCTGTGTGTTGCATTGGTGCTGAAGACCCTCCTTGCTCTGTGGGGGTCTGGCTCCCTACGCCCACTTGTCCTGCGTCTTGTACATGATCTGTGGACTGTAGAACCTCGAACTTACTCATACCTGTCACAGCTGATCAATGATAGGTCAATAAATTCTCCAGAAGTTCAGATTGCAAGGGCATTTGTTGTCACCAGTATTTGTAAATCAAAGTAAGTTTGTTTTATGTAATGTTACAAGACAGTAGAATAAATGCACTGATATTACAAATGCCGAAAGTTCATGTATGATTTTCATATGCAGTGAATGAAAAGTGATTGTGAGTTCATCTACAATCATATAATTGATTTTTGGTAGTGTTCAGATTCTATATTTTATATTATTATTCTAGAGTTTTATTGCTTTGTTCATATTTTGAGATAGTCAACAAATAATGTTATTTCTCTTCAGACCTTCCCAGCATGGTGAGGAATTGCTGCCGCTGCTCTCAAAAGTGTTGAATGAATGCCGCGGTAATGAGGGGACTGCTCAAGCCCTGATAGCCCTTGATGGTATATATGCTTTATGCTCCAACCAAGTCATAGATTTGCGAACCACTTGGCGAGTTATTGCACCCAAATTGGTGAGAGACAATAGACCTGAAATTACAGTAAAATTATGTAATCTCCTAGGACTTGTCCCAACACTCCATGTAGAGAGCTCAGAGTATGAGAAATTCACAGAGAACTCTCTTATAATTCTGTGGAATTGGGTAAGTCATCATCATAGTATAGATGTAGTGGAAGCAGCATATAAATCACTGGAAAATTACAAATATGGCAGCTATACTCTGAGAATGTTACCAAAATATGCAAGGGAAGGACACCAATTGCCACCCAGCATGGCCGCAACACCCTTTGAAGCTGCACGTAACCCAGTGGATGTCTTAGATTATGTCCCTGCTGTAGGCTGGATTAAGCTGATGAAGGGATGCCCAGAAGCCCACATCCCTTATGTGCAGAACTTCATTAAATCTCTAGTTGCACGAGAAGTAGCTGGACTGCCAAAAGGAATCTACATGACAGCTGTTCAGGAGGCAAAGCGCAGAGGTGTCAAGGGTAGTGGTGGTCAACCAGAGCCTCCTTCTTACAGTTTCCTCAAAGACACCTCGACGTTGAGAACTCTTGTGAATTTCCTTATAGACTTCCCTGACATGTTGGAAAACTGCACAGAAGTAGATGCAAAGAAGAGATTGCTAAGGTGTGCTGTATTAGCAATGGAATCTTTGGGCCAGCCATTGCCACGGCCATATCCAGCTCTAGATTGGATATTTTTGGAAAAGGTACTTTCTGCAGCCCAGTCAGTTTCAAATTCTGATTGGACAACAAGAATTCGACATAGTCTCTTTAGAATTGCTGCAAGACAAAGTAACAAGTCCCCCTCTGCATGTAATCTGATAAGCCAGTGGATGTTACCAGCACCTACCAATGGCTTAACCAAAGAAGATGAAATTACACTTTTTGGGCTGTTAGATCACATTGGTCGTGGAGTCCCTCCAAACTTCTTGCAGCCTTTCATAGCATACATTTTCCAACAACGCATATCTGATCCAAGTCATATGAAAGCTTTATTGGAGTCGGTAAAACCAGTCCTTACTGCTGACTTCATCTTTGACACTAACAGAAATGTTTTGAGTAATGCTATTGAACATCTAAATGAAAATATGGACCCTACAGATGAAGCGGTATATAACACGTATAAGGCATGTGTTGCTGACCTTCCACAAAAGCACATAGAACGACTAACCTCTCCATCACTTTGGTGGGAAGTTACAAATGAGAGATTGTACAGAGCAGCTGTGCTACGTTGCCATGTAGCAGAGAAGGACCCAGAGGAAATGGCTCTGCCCTGGCTCAATGACTTGGTAGACTCTGCAGCTTCTTTGCCTGGCGATCGCTCCCATCTGCTTAGTGTCATGTCAAACACATTAGTAACTAGGTGCCTTGTAAATGAGAGTACCTCATGGTTCCTGCAGCTACTTGGACGTCTAAGAGATCACCTAAAAAGAAAGACAGATGATAACCTCGTTGCAATGCATGAGCAGCAGCAGCGCATTACCTTCTACCTCGATCTCTTAGTGATGGGGCTTATTGTGTGGTCAGGCTTATGGGCCACAAATCATATGCAGGTTCTTGCTGAGACTCCAGCATTGCGAGATCGTCTTCTCCTTCCTTCCCTGGTGACACTTTCGGGTCAACCTGCATGGGTTCAGACTCTCAGTCAGTTTCTAAATTGGATGGTTTCATGCCATACACTCTTGCAGAATTATAATGCGTCTCGTTATCACCTTGGCTCGCCCACACTCCTCCTTGCGACGCTCAACCCAAGTATTTCACAGGTCATGTGGAATAAGGTTATTGCTATGCTTGTGTAAGGACAAAGGATCTAGATAGATTCTGTGATCAATTTTTAGCGCATATGTAATTTAAAATATTTATAATATAAATTAAAAAGAATTGCTCTATACAATGTAACTTTGCATGTATTTCTATGACTTTACAATTCAAGGGTCATGAGAAGTTTGCAAATTATTTGAGGTGTTGTCTAAGACAAGAGTGCGAGGAACTATTGATGTTTCTGAATACCTTAAAGCCAGTAAGATGTCAAAAATATAACCATAATTATTGACTGCTGTTATGTGTTTCATAGTTTATCTTAATTGCTTCATTTTTCAAAATTGTATTGTTTCAGATATGTTATATTGGAAATATGGGAGTGTTAATGCATTTTCAATCATGTTACTCGTCTTCCATTGTAATGACTCATTTGTTATAATTGCTTAAATGTGAATACATGTGTAGATGTATTTTCTGTTATATCTTCAACACAATAGATATTTACATTTATTGTATTAAGTATTATCCAGTGATAATAAAAACACAAGTGGCATTTATATCCAGTTTGAATATCAATCTACATGTAAAGGAAATCTTAATGGGTAAGGCAGAAATTAATCAAAACCTAATATTTTATTCTTGAATAAATAATAAATACAAAGAGGATAAAGAAGAAATATACACGACAGACAACTGCAGACTAATATACGGTCGTCGAGCTTTGATGAGCTCTGTTGTCTTGTGTTATGGGAACTCTTCCATACCACTATGTTTCCCTAAAGAAAAGACCTACACCTTATTCGTTCAAAATGGCCACGGTTGTGTTCCAGGTATCAACGTTTACAAACATTTTAATATTTCGGCACAGTATATTTTACTGTTTATTAAAAAAAACTGAAAACATTTCATTTTTGTCAGACACTTTTTATTCAGTTACGGAATAACATTTACCATTTCGTAATGTGAGCCAAACGGCAACTACAATGTATTAGTGGAGATATAAACACGTAAAATTAACGAACAAAAGTGTGGCCAACTTAACGTTTTACTAGCACAGAAACCGTAGCGGCAATCGCATTTTCAAAATACCCAGTCTTATTAAGTCAAAGTCAGAAATTCCTCAAAAGCCAAAATAAACCCCGGTATATTCAATAATATAAGATAAAAAATAATTGCTCTAGGATTTCCGTTGCCGAGGTAATGACTGTCCCAATTTTGGGCTCACTATAGTTATGAAAAGAAACCCTCCATTTAATGGAAAAAGTATAGTGGACCCCCGGAATCCCATTCAAGGATGCCAGGTGAAAACGCCCTGTTTATGCCAAATTTCACTACTTTGTAAGGTTTCGGACCCAAGATTTAACCATGTTCGTTTGAATTCTTCTGTAAAGTGAAACGAAGTCACAGTACAGGAGGTGCCCTTCCTACTAGCAACAGAGGCATCCCCATCTTTGACAGCCTGGCAAACAGAACAAGTCTTCGCAATCTATACCACGAAGATACAAGCAGCGCGTCACGTGCTGGAATGCTAAACCGATGAAGTAAAAGAGAGGGATTAACATGTTCAGTCTATGGATCAGATAATAGATGTAAAAAAGGTTCGTGTTATCCAGGGAGTGGCAGACAGCTTCATCTCATCCGACCCCTGTAATGACTTTTCGACGTGCTATTCCAGTCACATAGTACGGTTGTCCCTATATCTCCACGGTAACTAGTTCATTAATGCATAATAAAGATGAATTCAACTTGCAAATATTGTATTTGCTTAGTAGATTTGTAAATTAATATGAAAAGACCAATAATGCTTCTGATTGCTTTGGAAATCTTTTGAATGAATAAAAGGTATTTGGAGTACTTTTGCTCTTTCATATTACGTGATACAGGTGGAACACCACTCTATAGACAACCTATCCATTACGAAACTGATTTGAAATTCAGACTTCCCTTAGGTCCAGCCTTTTTGTCACGTGATTATTACAGTTCTTATTGGCTACAGACTGACCGCCAGTATCTATTGTCACGTCATGGCCAAGTGCAACTCTTATTTACTCATTTGATTTCTTTATTACGTCATCCGCTACAATTCCGTCCGATTGTTTCGTCGCTTCCTCGATTTAGCGTCATTCTCCTCGCCGCTGGATGTGCCTGGAATGTTTAAATTTTACATTCGTTCTACTACCCTTATTATTAGTTTACGAAAGAAACGCTGTAGAAGAAAAGTGTCTTGGAATGTTACGTTCTATCGGTTGGCTGAGTCAAATTCTTCATTAGTGGTGCCAGGCGTTATTTCCAATAATAATGTAGAATGAAACAATATTTGCCTGATTAAAAACGTGTTGATATGTGGAGTGAAGCAAACATCTGAAAAGACTGAGTCCTCTTTGAAAGAAATAAAATTCCGCAAATAGAAAGATGGGTCATATGTGCCCGGAGACAAAGATAAACATTTGGGGGCCCAGAAGTTTGAGTTCCTCTTGGACCTCCTATGTTTGGCAGGTGTATGGTAAGACATTATTTGGAGGTCCGGAGCCAATAAGCCTTGTGAAAGACCTACATGACTTCAAGCAGCATTCGGTTATACAGGTTCCCTTGCAATTCATAGAAAAAGCCGCAGGGATATTCTTTTGCACAAAGGTAAGTGATAATCTATGAGGGGTAATCAATTTTGACCCCAAAATTGATTACCCCTCCTGTGTTTTAAACACTTTCTTGGGGGTGTGGGGGCAGCGACACAGAAACTGATTGAGCACACTTTCCGATCCCTCAGTCGATCGGATCCCCCATTTTGAGAACCTCTGATCTAAGCTATTTTCTCCGGTACTCCTCCTCACCATCATCATCATCACCACCACCACCACCACCACCACCACCACCACCGAAAATACTATTGCTCCCCTCCAAAGTAATGTCATAATTATGATGGTGACTATAATAATGTTTATATCAGCCAGAGGATACATGTGTAATATATGACATTTGTCCGAATCGTGTCTGATAATGTGGAATAAATACAAGGTTATGTATTTGGGAAAAGTAAATAATCGATTTCATCTAAGTGACTATCAGTATTGAGTAAAAAATCATATAGCTTTATTTCTATTTTTGGAATTATCATGGAAACATTGACAAAGCCTGCCACACACCGAAAATAGATAACCAAGTAAATGATTGAAAGAAAAAAATGCAAAACCATTACCGCTGCGGCAATGCATCAGCTGACTTAGGTACGCACATTTTAGGTGAATTGCCTTGTGTATTATACAGCTGAACCAGAGACGTTGCTTGAAGCCCATCTTCCTTTTTAGGGTCTTTGAAACAATCTCCGATGGAATAGGTTGATACAGAAATAAATATTGACGTTTAAAGATGAAAAATGTTCGAGAGTCCGAGCACGAATGTGTGGAGAACCTAGGGAGTCAAAGCCCATCTATATGAGGTTAATGTCCGCTTGGGTAAAGATGAAGCCTTATTTTGTAGCTTTTCCGAAACCCCTAACACTTTGATACATGTTTGTCATTTGCGCGCACATTATTGAAACGTGTTGAACCTGTAAAACCCTTTTTTGCGGGTGTTGGGATGGGGTGGGGGGGGGGGTGTAACAACTTGCATGCATCTACCTTGATACATGGTACACTTCAGCCAGCCAATCAGAGCGTGATAGTTTTTCTGATATATATTACGTAATCTCAGATAGCGATTTATATTTTCGTTAATTATGAATCGCATCATAAATTGCTTGGTAAAAAATCTATTACCAAGTTGCATAAAATTTTCTGTACCTATTTAGTAGTACATCGAATACCTGATCGTTCGATATGGTTAAAATTTTAAGTCAATCATGACGGTCACTGGAACGACATGGTAAGAATTTTCAATGTGTCCAAGTCATCTAACATGGCATTGACTTTAGTATTATGATTGTCATCAAAATTGTTTTATACCTCTTACGAAATAACCTTACAGGCTCAAAAATATCAAAGAAAGACTATGTGTCTTGACATATTGATATAATTCAATCTATGAGACAAGTAAATGCCCGTTGTCATTGGAATTATCCAGTTGTCTCATTCGGTCAGGGAGCTCATATAAGATGCAGAAGATAAGATGCAAGATAAGATGCAACATCAGATGCAACTTCTACTTTTCATATGATGAACAATGCATGTAATAATAATAATAATAAAGATGTTTTGGTTGAATCTGAGAAATACATATGAGAGTTTCTGCAAGCTTGCGAAGCCGAGTATTGTGGAGCCTATAAACAATATAATGCACATTAGTCATGTACTTTTCTATATTAATTGAAGTTTCCACAATGTTTTTCTCATAGAAAATCATACCAGCATAATAAAACCATTAATGGTTTCCTATTGATTTTTTTTCATGTGAAATTAAGAACATTTATATGTTTGTACAAACTTCGGTGATACTATTGCCATCTTTTCCGGTGGGAATTACGGTGTCTAGCGACGCGCCGGGACACCAAAATGTGTCTCGTGATCGGAGGCGAGACAGGCTGCTAAGCTCCACCCACTTCTGTTACGTAATGGGCCACAGTTGGCTGTTAGCTGTTTTACTGTACTGGTTATTTTTTCTAACGGTACACAGTACTTTTTAATATAATTTCCTAAATGGCTTTTGTTATCTTATGGTGGGTTGTGTGGTGTTATAGATATCCAATATACGCATGAATATGAATGAAATATCCGAAGTAGAGAGAATGCATCTGGCAACTCGATAAATGTTTACCGCCTACTCGATTCCTGTCGCACGAGACGTCGCGTTTGCAGTAACTGCTGGAAAAGAAGGCATATGTAACAAACTGGGGTTTTGGGATACTACAAAAAAGGCATATAACCACTATCAAAGACAGTCACAGGCAGATGTAAGGTCAAATGGCCTGACCCAAATCCTAAGAATATACCCACAACCGAGGACAGTTTGGTCGCAAGGAATCCATCACTAGTTCTAGTAATGGTGCTTGTTACCAGATCAGAGCCTTTGGTTTACTCATTAATGACGTCATCAGAAAACAATCCCGCTGCCTGATGGTATCAGTGGAACAAAGAGGCAAAGGGAGATGAGAAGAGAGATGCTTGCAACATTAGAAAACTGTGGTTATGGGACGAGCTGGCAACACTAAGGAGTAGAGAAAGAATTTGAGAACGGTTCAAAATTCACAACTCGCACTCTCACAGATTCAGTATTTTGAATGAATTTTATTCTTAAGTTGCTATACATACATAAACCTTGGAACACGAACGTCCCTATTCACGATTAAATTGGGTTACGAACACCATTTCCGATCACATTTTGCTTCGGGTCGCGAACGAGGCTTCCGAACCATGTGAGGCGTGCGGCTGCTTCACCTGTACCTCAGAATAGAACCATCTAACCAGTTCCCACGAGATGAATATAAAAAAATCGAGAAATACCCACAGAGTTGCCTGTTGTTATTTTGGATCAGAACAGTTCTCTAAAGCCTCCCCACGAAAGAGTATCCCATCTCCATCCATGCATTCCAGCAACGGTCAACCACAAAGGTAAGTATACAGTG